GCTTGATTTGAGATGCATGCTGGAGTAGCATGTTAAGTTGACAATGGTAACTGAGATGCAGCCTGCTTGATAGTTAATGAAACATAGGCCACATTCAACAGTGCCAGCAGTCATCCACTATGCAGCGAGACTAGAGAGTGACTATAGCTCCCCATTTAACCGCTGGTCCTTATTATTATTAAAAAAAAAAACTCTTTGACAGAATAAAGACTTGGTTATTTATTAAACACGCTTTTGCAGTAAATGTTTGTTCATGCTCATTGACCGACTAGGCAGGCAGAAGTGTGCTTTCTTATCTCACAAGCCATGGACGGATGGGAGGGGTGACACGTAAGCGGGGGGTAGGAACTGTGGAATCAGGCTAGGGGTAAGAATTTAGGATATATTTTTGTTATTTTGAAGAAGGTGGACATGGTTATTTCATTACATTTAATAGCAACTAGTAAGCTGCATTGAGCATCATGCATCAAATACACATTAAAAACGTTAATGAATAAGACCTTAGTTGTTTTAATAAAGACATTCTTCAGTAAATGTCAGACATCCTACAAGGTGTCCCCACGGCCCCTGCTTATATCATCTATAAGCTCGATTTGAGATGCTTTCTGGTGTAGCATGTTAAGTTGACAATGGTAACTAATGCCTTGTCCACACGATTCACGGGTATTTTTTAAAACGGTGTTTTTCCTCCTCCGTTTAAAAAAAAAATCCCCGTCCACACGAACATTGTCTTCTAAAATATTTCCGTCCACATGAAACTGCTAAAATGCGCTGTCAAAAGCAATTATATAGTTATATAACTCTAACAGTACTGCCATGTTAGCCAATCAGAAGCCTAATTGCCAGTCCTGTTAAGTTGAAAACCATGGCACACATTCCGACGCCTGTGTTGATCAATATAATGCGAGAGTGACTCAACATTTATCTGTACACATGTAAGAAGTCCTGTCAGTAAGGTTAGCACAAGCACTATTTCGGCTAAGTCCGCCATTGCTCAAACTCGCCTAATGTATACAGCACACAGCGCACGCTCTGTTTTGGTGATCACTGTGATGATTGGGACCTGTTGTGCAATTGGGATTGCAGTACAACTGCTTTGTTAGAAGTTGTGTAGCTCTAATACAGCTTACACTTGTACTTGGCCATGCAGTGGATGCTTAGCCTAGCTGCACTTATGCCTAGTTGACAGGATGTCTGTTTCTGATAGACTATTTATTTACTTGCATGTTGCTTTGGACAATAGCAGCTGGTGTAGATGCACTGGTGTTCATTTGACATTGTGGGGGGTTTTTGTATTGAGATATCACATGCATATTTACTTATGTATTGTTTATTTACTCTATAGGCAGTACTTGACAGTGTACATTGCATCCTGGTTGGTCTGCTGCTTGCGTGTCTTTAAAGAGTGACCATTGATCATTGACACAGCTACAATATCAGTCCCTGATGGACTCAGTACTTCATACAACCCTTTCTTATTTACTTCATTTCAGAATGAGTGACTTACTCACCATCTGTAGGTAATATGATGTTGACTGTAATGGAGGGCCGGTCGATCTGTGCCTCTGCCAGGCCCAGCTTCTTGCTTACGATGTCCAATTTGGCCTTCTGCAGCAGGACCAGCTCCTGGTGGTGCCTCTCCCTTTGCTGCAGCCGCTCCTGGAGCCACCTCTCCTTCGGTTTCAGCAACTCTCTCTTCAGCAGGAGCTTTTTTTTTGATAGCTGCAGCCTCTCATTTTCCAGTGCAGTCAGCTACAGCTTTCTATTCTCCGGGTGTCCCTGTCGTGGGAGGGCTCTGGAGATGGACTGTCACTGGGGGAGGGAAAGGGATGCAGTGGAAGCGCAGATTTGGGTGGGAAAGACGGAAATTGGCCAGCACACATATCTACTCCTCCAGATAGTCCCTCAATCACAACTGGGCCTAGTATGGCTAGGATCTGCTGCTCCTCTGGGCTGAGAGGACCTGCCTCTGACTGGCCTCCATCAGTTCTGCTGGTCTGCCATCTCACCTCTGTACCCTTTCACTTGGTGAGGCTGGTGAAGTCTTGCTATTTCTTGTGGACTTCACTGCCAAGTCACCGCTGACCACTTCATCTTCCTGTTTATTTTTTTCTCTCTGTTGGAAAGGCTTCTTCTGGCTTTGGAGAAGAGGTCAGCCTTGTGAGCAGCCACCTCTGTTTTCTCTGACAACTGTCCATGGTTCCTTTTTCCAGTGGATCCCCATTACATTTTCAGCCTATATATACATTTGTGACTAATAAGTTAATTTAATTTGTCATTCCCCCCCCCCCTGCGCTTTCGGATGTTTTGATAGGCTTTGGATTAAATTATATTGTTTTATTGTTCATTTTCACATGTGTGATGTGGCAATGATTTGATTTGTATTTCGCCATTGAAATATGTGGGATCGATGCTCCTGTTATCGACAGTCTGTGCTTTTCTTATGTGGAGAAGCCAACAGAGTACTACTTAAAGTTTGCTTATTAATTCTGGAATAACGAAGGATTTCTGAAAATGTATCTAAACCTTGTCCTGTCAAGAGAAAAAACAATAAAAATAAGAATTAACTAAAAGAACAACAAAATGATAATAAGAATTAAGTGATTAATTGTCATTGTTGACACACCACAGCACACAACAACGAAATGTGTCCTCTGTATTTAACCAATACTGTATGTGACAATGTGACATAGCAGGGGGCAGCTAATTCAGCGCCCGGGGAGCAGTGCTTGGGGGTGGTACCTTGCTCAGGGTACCTCAGTGGTGCCTTGCTGGTCGGGGATTTGATACACTAGGGAATAGGGAAAAAACTGGGAGGAAGACTAGGAAATGAACATTGTTACTAAAACACAATAACATAAATACACAGAAAAACAAGGACTAACAAGGGGCAGGTGTGGACCATAACAAAATCAACCAGTCAATAAAGGTGCAGGACAACAAGAGACAGGTGGAATAAATTACAAGCAAAAGAACTAAGGAACATTGATAAACAGTGAGAATTAACATTAGGAAACATAAATATAAGTAGAACAGAATTAAACCAGGGACAAGCAGGGTAAACCTTAAAGCAGAGACACAAATACCTGACCACCCTGTACTGGCTGTGCCCTCAGGACAAACTGATGCCAGTGTGGCCGATCAGCAAAGCTTTAATTATGCATGTTACCAGCCTGCCTTACACTGCTAAGTTTGTGCTAATTCATAATTTAATGTGATCGAAATATTTGGATCTATTCACTAAAAGTGCACAACTCTGCAACATTGTTGTGTAGCTGGTTGCAAAAGCTGATCATATGGCATTGTACTGTATATCGTAAACTGAGATGATGAATATACAATATCCAAGTTTTAAAAGGGCTGGAATATACTGAGGCAAATGTATTACTTTGCATACTTCAGCTTTCTAAAAAAATATATTAAAAAAACGCCTGACTGATTCTAATTTCACGTCTTCTCTATCTACATAATTAATACATCAACAAAAACTTAATGAGGCCCCCTTTAAGATAATATTACTGCCATCAGTGTTCTGCAAGTTCACACTTAACCAGAACTAGCTCAAAGTTCACACCATACAGATTAAAATGAACTACTTCACGTTCATCTCTTCCATTTTTTTAATGTTTTTATGAGCTGTTCTGAATCCAAAGTGATTTTTTTCAGCAATTAAAATATCAGTAGCATCACCTACCATTTTAAAGCTTTTGGAGTCTATTGACATAAACATTAAAAATCATTAGTGTTACCACCAGCTAGCGCATCGGAGCCCAGCTCTAATCAAGACCAGTGTCGCGCGAGAAAATCAAGACCATCACGTAATAATTTTCCAAAGTTCATTAGTTGCAAACTGATTAGATCATTAGTGCATTAATACACAACATTGGCGGTCAATGCAGCTATAACATGGTACATATAGGCATGCACAGGTAGAGGTGCACATATGGGCAGTGGTGGCTTAATGGTTAGGGATGCACACATGTAATTGAAAGGTTGCAGGTTCGAATCCCTGACCACCAAGACACCACTGAGGTACCCTGAGCAAGGCACTGCTCCCAGGGCGCTGAATTAACTGCCCCCTGCTATGTCACATGGGTTAAATGTAGAGAACACATTTCATTGTTGTGTACTGTGGTGTGTCAACAATGATAATTAATCCCTAAATTAAAAAAGAACTCCAAAATTCTTTTTAAAATGCCACCAAATTTCAGTCAACAAAAGTATGGGTACTGGTTAATTATCTCTCCAGCTCTGCTAAATGCAGTGTCGATCCAAAATGTATTATTCAGACCTTACCTTATCCCTGCCTAAACAACCTAAATGGGGTAAAGGCAAAGGTTTTTTTAAACTGCCCTGGACCTTACCTCCGCCTGGGCATATCGTAGAGGTCAAGGTAGTTTATGAAAGTTATTTTTGCCTTGTAGCTAGTCCTCGCTTTGTAAGCTTTTTTCTGTATACTGTAGGTATTTCTCTCGAGAGCGTTCTTTTACAGTACTTTCTATAAATATTAATTATTATTTTTTTAAAAAATAAAGAAATGAGAAGTATATATGATATTACTGGTATTTCGGTCACCGTGTGGAGGTAATTGAAGCATCCATCCACCATGATGTCGCGTTCCCCTGTCAGTGATGCTGCTGGTTGAACACTGTCAGTGGAATTCCGTTTTAAAATACCTGTAATCTCCTTTAATGTGACCCACAAAGTTGTCACAATAAAAAAGAATTAGAAATTACGCCAAACTCTTAATGCATTTATTAATTCAAAACAATGTCACACTGTTTAAGTTTAAAATTTTGTGATTATTTATTGCATTCGATATCAGTTCTAAAATCAACAGACATACCTATTGAGAACTCCTTAATCTTTTGATAAAAAAAAAAAAGTTTAAAAAATTGTTAATTTGTATTGGTTGATTTAGTCCTGGGGACCGAGTTGGGTAGGCGTGAACTGAGTTCTGATTGGTTCGTAAGGGGATTTCATAAAGTGGGAGTGCATGTTCACGTCGCAAAAATCGGGGTTACAGTCAAAAGAACCATCCTGGAAATTACTGATATTCATTCTCAAAATTTGTGCAACAACACCGGGAAGATGAATGTAAGTATATATCTATATTTTAATTTCGATAGCTTTTGTGGGAATGGATTAAAACTAACCCAGCTGGATTTCAGCTATTGTTATACTCTTAAAAAAAATAAAATAATAAAAAACAATGAAATATTTATCCTAAGCCGTAAAATTTAACTATGATCAGCATGATAATGATCTAGTCAGTGCTGGCGATTCATAGCTGAATTTGATCAATAATTTTCGACCACAGAATTTCCTGTGATCGAGTGCTACTACTGAAAGTTAGTTCATTATCAGCATCAACTTAATCATTTTTATGCATTTACTTCGGCCTACTTGTGCTAGAAATTAAATTTAACTTTAAATAGGCCTTAACAGTATCTATAGCTGCTGACGGCCACTGGACATGTCTTTTTGCTGCCATGTAGCAATTTTTGGAATAGACAAGATTACTTAAAAGTTACATGAATGTTAATGTTTCAATGCGAAATAAGTCAGCTGCGGAATCAAAAATAATAATAACAGTAATAATAATAATAAGTAAACAAGCAAACTGATAGGTACGCTGTTCATTAAGTATATGCAAAGAGAAAACAGGTATATTACGGAGCCCGAAAAATTGTTTTCGTCTTGTGAGCGGAAGAAATTAGGCAAACTTTAAAGCTATGGTCATCAACTCTGCTCCTTAAGATATATTAAGATTATTATTTCCATTGTGCAATAAATGACCACTTAAAGTTGTGCACTGTCCCATAATGAAGTGCTTAAAGCACAATATACTTCGTGTCTTATTTAGTTTTAGAGTTATTAGTCCATATATTTATTCCAGTGCACAGTGAATGTAATTAGTAATAATTATACATGGAAATACATCATCTGATAATCCAAGCAGTGTGCATTGTCCCCACAGTTAACTGTTCAAAGAACATTTTACTAGATGTGTGCCTGAATGAATATTGAATGTTGCTGCCTTCATTTTGCACCTTTACAGAGCCAGGTAACCCTATGGCTTTAAACCCCAGAGCATGTTTAGGTTTTGTGATTGTACTCGCCTTTAAACATTGAAAAATATCCATTTAGTTTGTTCTTCTGCCTTCCTCTCTTACTTAAGGGTTATCCTGCACTTTAAATAACACATTAAATTTTGAAACCGCATCATAAAAAGAATCTTGCTTTACCAGGCTATCTTCAAAAAGTTCCTCTTCTTTCTCGCCAAGGGGCAGTATGTGGCTGTGCATAACAGCTACACACCTCATGTCCATACTGTGGTTCTGTGAACAAAATTAATACTGTGTCAATACTGAACCATTATTCATACACAATGGACTGTCAAGTGAGAACACAAGAGGATACATATGCAAGGAACAGTCTTTCTTTATCAGTATCCTCTCACAGCCTTTAGTGGAATCCTCCTCCTCCCTCTATACCTCAATAGCGTGAACCATGAGTTCACGGTACTGCATCTCAGACATAGTATTGAGTCCCACCACTTGCTTCAACCTCCTGGAAGTGCCTTTGGTACAGTCCACTGAGCGCCGGGTTCTGCAGGTCCTGCTCTCTCTCAGTTTGCCACGTCTTTTCTTGTCTTTGCAGATAGGAAGCTGGGCTCTCCTCCTCCTTTGTGTTCTCCAGCTTCATTTCGGCCACACTCAGCCACTGCCAAAGGTAACCATCAAACTGACGTGCATCATTTACAGGTGTCCCTGTCGCCATGGAGCAATCTCGTTTTATGCCTAAGAAGTCTACCATTGACCGTATCCTGCCACTGAGGCTTCTTATTGAGCACGAACACGAATACCTTTGTAGATATTCGTAAAACATTTGACTTAGTTTATCATGCTGCCCTGTGGGATGTTCTAAGACTTTGTGTGATCCCCCCAAAATTGTTGGACATCATGGCTGGTGTCATGATGCGGAGCAGGCGAGCGGGGAAGCGGGCGAGATCAGCCGGACAGACTGGTAAACAGGGTTTATTGGTGATGAAAGGGCAGACAGCCACGAACATCCACTAACAATACCATGACATATCTGGGGAATACTGACTGAGACACGGACTAAATACACAAGACAGGTTGAACGTAACAAGCCACAGGTGATTATAATCGGGAATAAACACTAGGTAACGAGGTGGGCGTGGCACACACGAGGATCGTACGAGCCGGGCGTGACAGCTGGCCTGTACACTGCTACTGTGAGTGCTGTGCAGAGTGGAGGCAGAACCTCTGTGTTCTACCCAGGTGATTCTGGGGTTCTCCAAGGGTGTGTTCTTGCTCCTACTCTGTTCACTGCTTGCATGGGCTGGGTGTTGGGCAGAGTCATGGGGTCCAGTGGCTGTGGGGCATCTTGACAATGCTGTGATCTTCATGGAGTCAATGAAGGCTCTGATCAGGGCTATAGAGAGAATTAGAGTGGAATCTGAGTGTCTGGGCTTGCGAGTCTCCTGGATAAAAACTAAGATCTAGGCCTTTAAAGACCTCTTGGGTACAGCCATCAGCAGTGTGTCTTTGTCTGTCTGCATCGAGAGATTCGCTTACCTCGGCAGTGACATTCATGTCTCTGGTGACGGATTGGGAGAGCATGGGGGGGTCATAAGGTCACTGGAAAGGGGTGTGTGGTGCTCTTAATATATTTGTAAGAGCACGAAGGTCCAAGTCTTTAGAGTCCTATATAGTACCCCTGTTTTACTATATCACTGCGAGACGCTATTCAGTGACTGGAGATGAACACTGTACTCCTTTGATCTTTGGAGAATTCTTGGGTACTGCTGGTGTCGAACGAGCAGTTGCTCAGGGAGTCCTGAATGAGGCACATTACCTGCATTGTGAGGAAGCCTCAGTTACACCTCAACGCCCATGTGGCGTGATTCCCTGGGGGTGATCCGGCGCGGAGGATCCTCATTGCTGAGGATCAGGCTGAGGGGACACCCACGTAACACCTGGCTCCGGCAGATAAATCATTTCCGGAGGGTGGGACTGGACCGCGTGTCCACATGGGGGGTTGCCTGCTGGGATCCCAGGGTGCTTCATCATGTGTTGGGTACGACAACACACTGTACCAGTGCATGCTCCCCAACCTAACCTAACCTGACTTGCCACCACGGCCAGGCCACTGCTTCACAGCACCCTCCACATTCTGTCCACCAGAACACCAGCCAGAACCGCCTTTATATCCCCTATCGCCAGGAACAGTCCCATAGTTTTCTCCTCAAATGTTTTTAGCCAATTCCCGGCCCCGTCTGCCAGAATAGAGAGTCTAAGGTAAGGAGCAGACCCTCCAGATCCTGACATGCCCACAGCACATACTGTGTCTGTGATTCATTTACCACTACAGTAGTGGGCACATCAGAGAGCACCTATCAGGGGGCCACAAGGCCCTCCTGCTTCTCACTGTTCTCTGCTCTGCTCTATCCTCTTCCTCTGCTTCTTCCTCACTCTCATTTGCTATTTCTGTCGCTATCTCAAACTTGTCCACCCTTATACAGGACCCTTCATTACAGTCTGAGTCAACACATCCTCCTGTCCTTCTCCTTCTCCCTTGTCTGGACCCTTTTCCTGATATTCTTTCCTGGAATTGACTCCACCCTTCATGTGGAGGGTTAGGGGTGTCCAGCAGTTCCTCTGCTTTACCACCAGATGCTCCTTCTGCAAATTTCTTGCCACTGCCTTTTACCTCACATCCCCACGTCTGGCCTTCACTACTAACTCACTCTCGCATTCCTTCCTCCACTGCTTGCCGCTCACTTCCCTTTACCCATCTAGACAACCTGACATTCCTTTCTTTACCTATCACTCTGCTTTACTTCCCCTTGGAACTCCACCTTTGCTCATTCATCAGAGGTGGCCTTGCCATTAATGGATACTAGGGATGTAATGGTACAATTTTCCCACAATTAAATGTTTTGGTATTTTTTTATATTTAATAAGAAAATAAAAACACATCTCCCTTTTATTGAACAAGGAACTCTTTATTTTTCCGTATTACAACTATTACAACTACAATTATTCCATTCAGAAAAATTGCAGCATGACTAACTAAGCCTAGATTATTTCTCTAGTGTATAAAATTAAGGAGAAGACAAACATTCAAATTAAAAATGCTTCTTAACTTTGATAACCTGTAGGCACTTTGTCTATTTCATTTTAAATGAACACTGTACATAATATGAATTACCTGTCTAAGCATTCTGTGTAAGCATTCTTTCTGAGCTTTGACAACCTCAAAGTGATTTGCCTTCTTTTTTTATATAAACGTTCCACTGTTGTTTTAAGATTTGTCCATGCCTTTGTCCTATTGTACAAGTATAATTCGGCCTGCGTCTCCGCAAACTTGTCACATTCTAAGTTAGACCCCTTATTCATCTGTATTACTAATGTACTAATCACCGCTTCATATATTCTCTCGACTTATCTGTCAAATATATTTGCTCTTCTTCCTTCTCAGCACAAATTTTTATACCGTCTCTGGCCAGGACACGACAGAGTTATGTTCTGGTAAACCTATCATAAGGAAAAAATGTATTTTAATACAGTACCCCTACCACAGCAAACATCATAGCCTAGCCTAGCCTACCTTAGAAACAAGCTTAGAACACTTACATTAGCCTACAGTTGGGCAAAATCATTAACACAAAGCCTATATTATAATAAACTGTTGAATATTTCATTTAACATTGAATAATGTACTGAAAGTGAAAATCATTTACGAATCATAAAGCTGAAATATCGTAACATGGATGATCGTGTCCCGGGGAGCATCTGTATATGGCCGGTTTCTCCACTTACTCATACTATCTCCCTATTAGACTAAACCCTCTCTGGCCCCTTTTCCTCCCCGAGGACTTTTCCTAACAATTCAGTCCGATTCAGCGGATCTTCTTCTCTTAACCCAATATCTGCAGCTTTTACTACACAGGCCCTCTCTGGCCTCTTTCTACTTTAAAAATACTTCTGCTTCACCAAAACAGACAGACACCCTCTCTCTAGGGCAGTCCCTCTAAATAACCGTTACTACACAGGCTCTCTCTGGCCTCTTTCTACTGCAGTAGAAAGTATCCTTACTTCACCAAAACAAACACAAACAAAAAACCAAAACAGATCCCCCCTCTCTATTACAGTATCTCTTATTAATGCATGGGCCTCCCAGGCCTCACATCAATGACTCAAAAACCTTTAGCTTTTGCGGGTCAATAGCGTGGGCCAGTACAAAGCCCAAAAACAAGCTTTTATGGTTACTTTGGTGCGATGGAGCAGCATCCAGAAACTCCTAAAAAGGTTATGTTCCGCTACAAACTACATTGACTTAATGTTGTTTTCCAGTGTTACATTCTCCATGGGTTACACCCTTTTAGTGTTGTCCTAAAAATTACATTCTCAATGTGGCATGTAGTTTTATATTGCATATAATGTTCCATATCATAATATACATATACATAAACAATCTGAATAACTTCTGGGTTGGCTCAGTGGGTAGTACTACGACCTTATCTGTTTAAGGTTGCTGGTTGAATCCTGTTTTGTATGTGTGCAGTTTCCTTGTCCTCAAAGTATTTTTGCGTTTCTCCAGCTGACGCTGAAGGACATGCCTGTGACGGCTACGAACCAGCTGAAGATCACTGGGATACCCAAGCTAAACGCCAAGAGGTGAGTCATTTCCCCTCCTATTGCTTTGAGGTTTCAGCCTCTGATTGGGCTTCTGCCTTTCCCCTACACTGAACCTCACCACCATTCTTGCCCCCCTCCAGGTTCAGCATCAACATCGGCCTCGGGGAGGAAAACATTGCCCTGCAGTTTGATGTCCGCTTTGAATTCCACAATGACCGCAACACCACTGTCTTCTCCTACAAGCAGAATAACAGCACCTGGACCAATGTTGTGAAGGATGAACATTTCCCCTTTGAGCAAGGGGAGGAGTTCAAGGTGAGGCCATCCATCCGTGTTTGTGTACAAAGCTCCATTTCTCCAAGTTTTACTGTCATGCGTTCAGAAGAACATTGGACAACAGTACAAACAGCAGGCATGTGCAGTGGGTAGGCGGTGCCTGAGCACGAAACTATTTTATTGTGAACTCGTGCATAAAGTTAAAAGGAAGTGAGTGGCTCCTATTTAACCGTAGAGCACCTGCCCCTCAAAAAGTCTCTGCACAGTCCTGGCAAACAGCAGTGCAATAAAGATCAAGATGTGCAATATCACAAGGAACAGCATCACATCCTTTGTTTAAATGCTAAATTTGATACCTAAAATGAAATATGTAATCTACGTCTTAAATAAAATAAAATAAAAAAAATACCTTAAAGATAATTTAGTGTAGTGCATCTCACTGCTGTGTAGAACCGTTACTTTTGAGTCCACTTGTCAAGGAAGAAATTAGCTCATTAAATTCTTACAGTTTCATGTTATAGTGGTAAAAAGAATCCATTGTTTTTCCTTTTAATCCACTTTATACATCAGGATGAAAAGTTGGTTTTATCCTGTGGTTCTTTACAAAGAACAATAATAAATGTAAAATTTCAAAAAAGCAGGCAATACAAAACTTTAAAGATAATAGTATAGAAAATTGTAGCTCATTTTCGTAGATATCTAACTGTTCAAGGAAAAACTGACCTTTTGAATCCTTGCAGCTTTGTGTTACCATTGTGACCTCTAGTGGCTGAAATATAGCATTGCATAATTTTCTCTTCTATCTCCGTGCATGTTCACCTTACCCCAGTGTAAACTACTGCTAGAAACGCCTTGAATACAGCGAACTTTAATTTTGGAAGCCTTTTTCAACATTTCTTATGATGAAAATTACAATTAGTTCCAGGTCTATCCAACAGCAACATACTTTACGCACTGTTACTACACACCGAGTAATTAAGCAGCGATGAACGGGTTTCCGTTAATGGTCACGGTTTACTGAAGCAATATTCCAAAAATAAAACTCACTTATCGGGAAACTTTGTCTCGCTGCGACCGGCTGGGCTGGATTTCGTGGACATTACATCTCAAGCACTGGTCTGTTTCTCTTTTCGCATGCAGCACACTAAACATAATTCCTTAATTTTTAAGGAGAAAAATTGTTAGACATATTAACATTATAGAAATGTTAAACTAACACTTTTCAAACATTTTCCGATAGAAATAACGTACAAATGATAATATTCTATAATGTTTCATGAAGGCTGCCATGCAAAATAGGCTATACGCCTTCCTGTTTATAAAATTATACAAAAAGCACCCACCTCTAAAAACATCCAGTTATCAAAATCCAATATCATTTATCATCCACAAAATAAGCTAAAAACCACCCATTCACACCTCGCACTCATGGGACAAAAAGAACGGGAGTGAGGATAATGATGGTAAAAAATACAGGACAATATCGACAAACGCAAGCCTAATTTTAAATCTATTTCAGTTATATTCAAACGCTGTCCACAAAAGCAGAAATTAAATGTGCACAATGCCTAAGCCTAACTTCCTAACCAAACAAACAGTAATCCCCACGTTTACGAATAAACAAAAAAGGCAGACAGCTAACAGGCGAGCAGCGGGCAGACGAAGTGACGAAGCGCGTGCTCTTCTGACGGCGAACCGGAAACTGCTCGGAAGGCGAGGAAGGCGGGGCCAGGTCCAGAAGCTGGAGTCGAAGGAACGGCAGACGAATAGGCGAGTGTACAGGACATCCTAAGAACCTGCAGGGCATCCTCCTGAACTTACGGCACGTAACACTTACGGCACGTATCTTCCTTACGGCATGTAACAATATAAATTACCACATAATAATTTTTAGCTATTTTGCCGTAAATTTGGTACTAAATTCACAGTGAACCATGTGACTCTAGGAGAGCCATAAGCTTTATCATGAACCCGTTGATAACCAGAACAGCTTAATATATAATGTTACCTTGCTTGTGTAGTAATTTATTGACAAACTTATTAGTGAAATACATAATAACTAGCCTACTAAGCTACCTTCAGTCATAACAATTAAATTATTAACAGTTAATGCTGAGTGTAACAAGGACGTCGCGTTGGCCCCGCTGCAGTCTAGCCCTGGTGTTGCTCTGCGTTGTGTGATGTGTAAATACGAGTCACCCCCGGATTTGGTCTGTAATCATCCTTTATTACTTATTTGCTGTGGCAAAATGAGGTGGGATAAGGATGCACATTCGCCCCGATGCACTCCATCCATGAGCATGGTTGGGGGGGGGGGCAATAGGGAGGAGATCGTTGACTTATAAGTACCTCAACCCGGAAGCCCAACCCCTTCAACCACATATTACAGCACCATTGTTTTCACCTCCATTGCTTATGATAGTTTTTACTCCATCCAGTTTCCGTTGCTTCAGTGAACCCCCTGGTGTTTCTGGCTTTCCTTTGCATGTCTGAAATTTTAAGTAATAAGACCATAGTTTGTCACTGTACCTCTTGCATTTAGGAATAACAGAAGTTAGTGAAACAGGATCGGAATGGCCTCTTAGAGCAAATTTTTTCCACCTCACATTTTTCATTTTCATTCCTTTTTTCCTCAGGTAATCATTACTTTCGACAAAGATGAATTCCTTGTCAAGATACCTGGTAACTACGTTAAATCATACCCCAATCATTTTGGTGCTGAGAAGTTTATGCTCGTCAGGGTACAGGGGGATGTCAGAATCAAGAGCTTCAACATTGAATAAGCAATAAAGGCACGCCCTGTCTGGCTGCTGATTGACTGTGATCTGTGCCCTATCTTCTGTGAAGCTTAACCATGATGCTTATTGTTAACCTTGCTAATGCAGTAGTGACTGTACCATGTGTTCCTTCTTGCTATATGCCTCTGTTTGTAGAAACAGTGTGAACCTGTACAACTTCCCCAGCTGGTCTTCTGAAGAAATTCAATTGAAAATGTGAAAATTATTTTGACATTTCAGATGTTTTAATAAATCTCACTGCATTTTGCATTGCTTTCATTCTTGAATCAGTGGTAATCATCAACCGTATGTACAAACAATTCTGTGCATAAACTAATCGTCTGACATTCGTAAATGATTCATTTACAGGAAATGAGTCCCTTACAGGAATTATACACTTACGTTAACTTACATGCACAGATTCATCCATCCATCCATCCATTTTCTCCCGCTTATCCGAGGTTGGGTCGCGGGGGCAGCAGTCTCAGCTGGGAAACCCAGACTTCCCTCTCCCCGGCCACTTCATCCAGCTCCTCTGGGGGAATCCCAAGGCGTTCCCAGGCCAGCCGAGAGACATAGTCCCTCCAGCGTGTCCTGGGTCTTCCCCGGGGCCTCCTC